AAGCATTTTTTTAAAGGAAATTCTTCAAACCCGCAGGATAACTTTTTGTACAAATTTTTCACTGAAGGAGCCAGTTTAGGAGATGAACGCTACTCTGAAATTTTTTGAAAAAAAAATAAATTTCTGCTTATAATTTTACTTATTACGATAGCATGCACAGAAAAATCTTTGTTTAAGTATAATATGAAAATGATGCAAACGATAATAATTAGAAGAATTTTTTTTCCAAAAGGAAATTATTCAATCCTGCAAATTCAATATAACCGGCAAAAAGAAGAAAAATCATTAACATGAAACAGCAGGTCAGAAATTAGTAACCTCGAGTGGAATTATTTTACATAGTGTAATAATCTTTACATTTAGAGCTAGGACTCAATAGTTCCAAAAGTTTTTCTTTGATTTATTTAAATATTTAACACACTGAGAAAAAAGTATTAACAAAACTACTGGAATACGGCAAAATTTACCACGTTTCTGGATCTATGGGGACACTAAGAAACGCTGTAATATTTACTGAAGTGCCTTATTAATGATTTTCGTAAAATTATCAATAATTAGGTGAAATTTGGTATATGTGGTAAAATTTGGAAATTTTATAATGATACCTGCATGGGCCAAAAACTATTTTGCTTTTTGTATTTTTTACTAAATATGTGGCAATAAGAACTGTAATTTTCTAGACACGAATTTCACGAAAAATCCTCACCATATGAATGGAAAAATAACCATATAATGAAATGAATACCGTATATTTGAGTTTCATTAAACAAAACTATCGTGTTTTCCGCAAGAAATGTCTTTACCATGCAGTGCGGTAATTTAACCAGAATTTTTTTCTCCACGCAGCATGTACACTAGTAATGTAGTTTAATGCACGTAGGGTTCTTTTGAAAAATTATGTTCTTATACTCGCAATATCTAAAACACCTTGAGTTTTTCATTGATTTATATAACGTTACTAAGCAATATGTATAGATTTAATGTAGTTTATTGTACTTTGGATTCTTTTGCATTAAGTTACGAACTATTAATTAGATAGTAATCCCTGGTTATATATTTTTCACTAATTGTCTTGCAAATGCTTTTGCAAAGTCAAGACTATTCACCCCTTCAAAAATCAAAGCCCACGATCAAATAACTAATCTTGACATCGATAGGAAGACAGCCACTACTCTCATCAGACTAAGAACAAAACATCATAGAAACATGAAAATTTCTACAGATGGGACTAGAAAATATCAAACCTGTGGCAACTGTCTTAATGTGGAACTGACAACATATCATGTTTTTAACTGCCCTGCAGTCGCTGCAGGCCTTTACCTCTTAAACTACCCCACAGAAGAGGATTTGTATTCATTTAATGCCATAGAAATAACAAAAACTATTTAAGCACACCATGAAATATGATTCAATAGAGGATACGACACCAACCAACCAACTAATTGTCTATTTTGTTTAAGACACTTGTAAATAATAATTTTCAAAAGAACGAAAAAAATATTCCTTCAGAACCATTTAAACATATTCATTTTTATTATAATAGATTTAAACAAGTTTTTTTCTTCTTTTAAAAATGTTCATTAGAAACTACTGAATTAAAATATTTTCGTGTCAAAGGATGCAATTTTGTCTAACTCCATTCATTTTTAATTATATTAGTGATCTAGAAATAATAAGTACAATAGAAATGAATTATGAAATATTTGATTTTGAATTCTACTTTTGCTTTTTTCTAATACAGATTTTTTTCTCGTGAAGGAATTTTTTTTTTATTCAAAAGACAAAAAGAAATATATTACTTTTTACCAATGTCATTTGAGGAATCTAATTTTTCTCTTTTTTATTCTAAATTGAAGTTATTAAATATAAATTTGTATTGTATGGTTCTTAAATTAAAAAAATTTACATTTAGATCGATTCTAAGTCTCAATTTCAAAGACAAAATAACTTTCCATCAATATTTTATACTATTTTTCTGAAAAAACGTAAAAAAAGTACTTGGTGTGTAAAAAAGCATAGAGAAAAAAGAAAATTCCTCAACAACCAGTTGTTGTCCAAGAAGAAGGTCATGGAGGTTAATGTTCCATTATTTCGAATGCAAAAGACCAAAGGTATGGTGATGAAAATGTGATCAGCATTATGTACTGACAGCCATTAATTCGCAAACCAGCTGGACTGAAGCTGCTGATACTTCAAGTCACGACCCGGGATACAACCCTACTCCTATAATAATAATAATCAGTGCCATCAGAAGACATTGATATTGCGTCAGCAGTGCCTTAAACAGCTTCCAAAACTTGTATTTAAAAAGACTTAAAAAAAGTTGTGCAATAATCAGCTTCATGAGTTGTATTGCGATATAGCTTACCAAAGTTACAGAGAGCTTACAAGATATTAAAATTCAATGAGTTCCAGTAATTTTTTTAATGTATATATGTCAGGGAAATGAATAAAATGGAGATTTGATCAAATTCCTAAGCTAGATGATCCATTCGCCAAAGATGAGTACATGAATTATTTACCAACTGTGTGCATCTTGACACAAAAATCTTGGGTAGACTATATTTGAGGGTGCCCCTTGATTCTTGCCAAGTTGTGATCGCGGTTGATCACCAAACTGAGCGATGTTGAACCCAATCATGATTCTGAATGGTTTAGATTTTAGTGCTATTTTTAAATGTTCAACGGTATATGTAATTTCTGAGGTTAGTTAGTTCTACGTTGGATACCGGCTGGTAAGGTTACTTTTGCTTCTGGTCAATAAGATCGAAGATATGTGGGCAATAATAAAAAGGGACTTGTCACCGCCAGTCCGGTACCACAGACGCCATTTTCGAATCGAATTTCGCCGAATTTATGTGGTGATGGAGCTACACAGATTATATTCATGATAAGTTTAGGCAGTATTTAACTGCTATTAGAGAATTCTGTGCACTTAAATCTGAGAATATTCAAGCTTAATGAAGAAGTGAGTTTTTTTTTCCTTTCTGTGCTTACTCCATTAATTGTTGTTTCGATTCAAAATGTATTTTATTGGGTTTATTAATTTTGCTTATATTGGGTTCAATGCAATTTCACAAAGTTCTGGCCGATGTTTTGGTGAAATTTTTCAATACTTTATTGAAATATCATTATGTTTTAGCCGCCATTTCTGTTACCACGATGTTCTGCGCAAACAGGAATGTCGCCAAACAAAAATCACCAATTTCGCCAAGGAGCACCCTCAAGTACCGAAATCTTACAGTTAGGCCTAATCAAAATTCAAAGAAACTCACTTTGCTTTGTGAATCGAGCAACATAAATTATACTAGTTAGTAGAGTTTAATAAAATTTTTACATCATATATTACATCCATTTTAACACAAGTTTTCATACTTAAACTTAAAATTTAAAGTAGTTTGTTTCAGTTGTAATCTGTAAATAAAATGAATCGAACTTAATCTTTTAACTCGAATTATTCAAGAGGAATCTGAAAAATCTGACACAATGCGTCTGAAATAATTTAACACTGCTGTTGAATATTCAAGTAACTCAACGAGCTGAATTCTCAAAAATATTCCCCTAGGAGGGACGTTTCATTTAGTATGCAAGAAAGTGGTTGTATATCTTAAGAATTGTAAAGAAATCACAATAGCAAAGTAAATATTTAATCTAAAGTTTGGAGAGTTCATCTGAACAAATATCTCATGAGTATTTAATGAAAGTTTTCTTTTTTTTATTTATGTATATTCTCATTTTAATTCCAAGTGTCGCTCTCGTTTCTTAAATTTTTAAAATTTCTGTTTTTGTCTTCCTTTTTGAATTCGCATTACAACATTTAGATACGTTTGTGCTGGAAAGAATAATACATTCTTTTTAATTGCTTGCGTACACTGTAAAACAAGTCCTGAAGAATTATTTTAAAATGTGCCGGCACTCAAGATGACTGCAATTTTTACCATAAAATTTCACAGAGAAAAAAAAATTATGATTTACCGAAGTTTCTAGATTAATATTTATTGAATCATTGTAATTCAGTAAATACTGTAAAATTTATAGTATACAATTTTACGGTTAAAGTGGATTTTACGGCAAAAAGTACAGGCAACTTGAGTGTCGGTATTTTTTATTGTACTTTTTCCGTGTAGATTGTAAAAATTTATGATTTTTTTACTGATTACTAAAATTAAATCAAAGATCCGACGATACAAACGGTCAGCAAAAGCAGGAAAGTACAAAAAAAATGTTATATATAGTCCCTAGTCCAATTATTTTATTTTTTTTACTTTATTTTATGATCACCGTTGAATAGTCGACTCAATTTTTGGGTTTACGACTACTAATGTACAACGCCGTAGCCTTGTAATTTCGAACCAATCCAAAAGACAAGGAAACTCCTGGATCGGTACCCCCAGATGTATTGATTTGTTATGGGAACTTGGAGGACTCTGAGACTCGACAGATTTTACGTGCATCAGTCACCATTTACTACACGGGGAGTCTTCGACCGGCGGGGACCGAACCCACGAACTCTTGGACATGGCCCGGTACCCCACTGACCAGGCTATCCCGGCCTAGTAGCGACAACTTAATTTTACATAGATTAACTTGCAGCGTTACATTACAGACTCAAAGGATGAACATCGACAATAACAGTACAATATAAAATAGCTAGTCACGTCACAGGTATTTATATATTTCTTTTAGTCAAATTATTAGACGCAATTCGCGAATTCAGAATTCTCTAACAGCAGTTAGATGGGGTCTAAATTTATCATGAATAGAATCTGTGTACCTCCATCGCCACATAAATTCGGCGAAATACGAATCGAAAATGGCGTCTGTGGTGCCGGACTGGCAGTGACATTTTATTCTAAAGTCCCTTTTTATGACTGCCCACATACCTCCGATTTTATTGACCAGCAGAAGTAGGCTTAGCAGCCAGTATCCAACGCAGAACTAACGGACCTCTGAATTTAAACATACCGTTGAACATTTAAAAATAACACTAAAATCTAAACCAATCAGAATTACGATTGGGTTTCAACATCGCCCAGCTTGGCGATCAACCGCGATCACAACTTGGCGAGAATCAAGGGGCACCCTGAAATATAGTCTACCCATATTTCTGCATCTATATAATTTGAAAAACAACAGTGAAGAGTCATCCAAATTGCTTGAAATAGTCTCATTTGTGTTTATTACTAATAAATTTTTATCGTTTTCTTGGTAAGTATTTTTTTAAATTTTGAATGAAAACTTATACACAGATTAAAATATTTTAATCCTGAATCTCTGACAAGTTTGGCTAATCATGAGACTCAATGTTAAAATATTTTTTATCACTTTAACTCTTTTATGTTTTCAATATTATTATAAATGAACCCATGAAAAATTTTTCCTAAACTTAATTACATGTCTGGTAATTCTTATGATTTTACTTATTTTTTTAATGAAACCAATCTAAACCGCTGAAAATAATTTTTAATTAAAAAACTTATACCACAATATTTTCTTTCGTTATGTTTCAAACTCCCATCTTATTTAAAACTTACAAAAAAGGGGAATTACTTCGTGTCTTAAGGATAATTACATGGTCGAGAAACTAAAGAAATTTAAATTATTTGGTCTGCTTCGTCTCTAAACGCGCTTATTGCTCTTCATTAATTACATTTGGATGCAACACTTTCGAAACGCAACAACAAAAAAAATTCGTTTCTTTAAGATAAACCGAAAAGTAATGTGAACTGTTCTCTTTAGAGTGCAAGGTGGAAGACTAACCATTAGCAAAATTATTGTTTTTTCTTTCCTTTGTAATTACTATATGCTCTTCTTGGCAGAAATTTTCCAGAGTTCCATTAAAATTGGAAATGCATGAGGAAGTTTAGAAATTTATAAATAAAAAAAATCCTTTGATGGTTTTGGTTTCTCTAATTCCTCGATTAGTTTTATGTTTATTTTAGTTTGATGTTAACGTGATTTAACTGTTTTTGCTTTTTATTCAGAAAATCGATTAAGCTTAATTATTGCAATGTGGAAAATCGCTAAGGACGGATGGAACTAGCAACAATAGCAACCACAAAATTGAAGGTAAGGAAATGTGAAAATTAGCATAAGTGCGTGATACAGGAAGGCGTCTTTTGCGCATGGAAATTTTAGGCTGAACTGGTTTGTCACATGATAACTGTTGACGCGTTAGCTGACTAAGCACAGTAGTGAGTGAAAGTGTTAACTCACATAAAGAAACTTGAAGATTTAAACATTTCTTTATTTCATACAGTACCATCTCGATACAGCGTACAACTGAAGATATTTAAACATAAATATATCTTAACAAAAATGTTGGTACATCACTGGAAACAACCACACAGTGAAGTGACATAGTGAAGAGACAAGACAAAACACATGCTTACAACAATGCATGCCTTACATACAGATTCCATAATGATATGCACGGAATGCGTCACTTACGTTATCTGAAAAGAAAATATCTGTTGTCAACACATGACCGAAACTTAATTCTGTTAATTTAATGTATTCAGAGGAGTAACAAACCACTCCAACAATAAAGTTGATAAAAGTTTTGACACATATATTAAGCGCTATCTTTTAAAATCAAAGTATGACGGGAAAAAGATAAATTGACGTACTTGCGATTTGTCATGCATTCCTGATGTCTTGTAGATGCCTTTACGCGTGGCCGTATTATCGGAAAGATTGAAGAAACCGAAAAATAACAAATGTTGCTAAAGAGTTTGCCGTCTACAGAGTTGTTTTAAGGCTGAGGAAATCATTTCAAACTGATGGAATGAGTAGAAGACGTCATGAAGGTTTTGTTCCATGTACAATTCTTGAAGAAGACATTTTCATAGTACCACAGACAAAAAGAAGCCGGAGCAGTACAGCCAGTCAGGTAACAAATTAGTATCATGTTGCTGCTGGTACGCGAATCTTCCGCAAAACTGTAGTCAGACACTTGCTAGCAGGAGGACTATACACAAGCCGACCTGTTGCGTATGCATACCATTGTCCAGACGTCACCATGGAGACCATTTGCTATGGTGTCTTCAGCATCCAATAAGAGCAAAGTGAACTGGGCTTGCGCACAATTCTCGGAAGAGAGTAGCGTGAGATTGGTACTGCGCATAATCAAACAAACATACAGGAGAAGGACAGATATCCAACACGTAGTATCATGGTTCGGGATGGCATTATGACTAATGACCGCACGCCCCTCTATGTGCTTCCAACTTGGACTATGACTGACCAACGCTACATTAATGATATTCTTCTGCCTCATGTTTGCTTGTTCCATGGTGATGTCGGTGACAAACTTTTTATGGACGAAAACGCAACTTGTCATCGAACAACAGCTATCAAGAAGTGTGTACAATGCGAGGATATTCACTGCCTCATATGGCCAGCATGTTCTTCAGATCTGAATCCTGTCACAGACCGTCGCCAATAGCCGATTGTGCAACTCTAGTGGGACGCAGAAAAGAAATAGAAATTTCTCTTGATGTAGGATTAAAAAGAAAGTACTAAAATACCTTTTTGCAGTTGGCTGATTACAAAAGAAAAATTTATCGCTAACATAACGAAGGAAGTTAAATGTCAATTTTAGGGGTCAACACACATGCTAATATGTTTTGATATTGAACCCCACTACGAAAATGGTAATTAACATTTGTCTCATAAAAAATTTTATCTTATACATTCTTGAACAACACAACTGTACTTTATTTATAACGTAATAACCTCAATATTCCTTTTCGCCAAATTTACTTGAAAAAATATAAAAGTGTGGACATCAGAGCTCAATAAAATTTCATTTCTAAATATTAGGGGAATAATAGCAGAGGTTCATAAATTGTTTTTTTTTAATAAATTTTTAAAATTCAAAATATTTATAATTGTTTTAAAAAAATTAGAGAAATTACAGAATTTCAAAAAAAAAATTAGTGCTACTTGCTCGCCAGAGATGGATAGTTCTTTTCTTATTTTTTGAATGATCAATCAAATTAATGAATAATTAACATTTCGAAAACAACTCGTGAATAGTTTTTGGACTAATTATCTTACATATCGATTTTGATAATCTTTGCAAAATATTGTTATAGTTATCATAATTATGTTAGAAATATTTGAAGAAAATTTAATGAGAGGCAAGTTATGCCTTACACAATCATTACATCAATATATTAGAATTAGTTATTCTAAATTATTAAAAGAAATCTTTAGCAGACTGAATTTGTTCTTCAAAAGAAACAATATTTATCTTCTTTGTATTATAATTAGGTTTCAGTAAGGATTTCAAAATTAACGTTTCAAATGTACTTGACACACTAATTTCATTATTTGAGGTATTCAATTTTAATTTAGTATAGTTTCTAGCAATTAATTTAGTAATAGTTAAACTGAATAAGTAACTATATTCATTTTTTGTAATAGTTCAATAGTTAAAAACAAATGCTTAAAATATTTAAAACAAAAATCTCGTAATTTCTATTGAGTTGAGCTACATAAATGGCTGAGTTCTATAGTGTTGTTTAAACATTTTATTCGCGCTTACACAGTCAGCTGTTTGTACGCCTATTATTACGTTTTGTTTTATTAAACATATCTGATTCTGTTATACGTGATTTTGAACAAGTTACAGGGGTAAAATTTATTGTATTTAATTATTATTTCACCATATTCAATCAAAACAGTCAAATAAGTTTAAAAACGATGATATTCAAGTGTGGGAAAAAAGTTTATTGATTGTTTTTACTAAATGATGTTTTATAACCAGAATTCTATCCACGCTAACTAGGCCCACATGAGGCCATTTTGATTCGTAAAGTTGAGTACATATTGTGGCTGAGAGGGCAAATCTGTCAATCTCATGACCGACTGAAAAACAGTTCGAATCCCGAGCAGTCCTTCTATGGTCTAAAAATGGCTTGCATGTTTTTTCCTTTTCTTCTATGCAAGTACCCTGTACTCTTCAATCGACGACCCTGGACTATAAGAAGAGCAAACTATCATTCACGCGTAAATGGCACAGCATGCACAGAGCTCCAATGTCTGTTTAAATATTATTTTCATGGTTAAGAAACTTTGCTAATTGCAAATCGTTACAAAACCGTATAGTTTTGTTTTCATGATTTCTTACCCGTACCAGTTGCAAATAGTTTGAAAACTACAAAGGCAAAGAAATTCTACTAACCATGGACCTTATGGTTAATCTGATGAACAAACTGCTGCCGATATTTTTACTGCAATTTCAGAATTAAAATTATAACAGTGCGTTCTGTATGTAAATGGCATTTCAATGATATATCTAGTTAAAAAAAATAACAGTTCTGTTTAACCTGAATATACAGTGTTTAAAATCATTCATCTGATAATTTTTCTATTCATAAGGAAACAGTTTACCGGAAATTCTGGTTTCCAAAATTATAGAATAGAATAAATGGTTATTATGCAATGCTTTAAAGATGTTATGTTCCAAATTTTTTCCAAATTTCCAAATTTTAGCATATTTACGAAATTTTGTCATATATTATAAAACCTTATTTCATTGTTAATATTTCTGACGTCATTACCAAAGCGCTTCGGTAAAAATTTCCAAGCTTTCTTGGTGTTCTCTTAGAGCCAGGCATGCGGTATATTTTACCATATTCTGGTATTTTCGACCATACTTTTTTGTCAGTGCATGACTGCTTCTTATCTGAGCGTCTGTTCGGAGCGAAATTACTACTTTCAGTATTAAAAATGTTTCAGAGCCCGTTTTTTAATGATTTATGGTCTATGGCTTAGATTTATTTTTAAAAAATAAATAAACATTGCATTGTCTATAGTTTTACAATGCAATGTATCAGAAAACTATGGTTTGTATGTTGTTAAGCATAATTATTATTTATACTTTTTTACATCTATTATGATATAATTTGCATTATTTTTAATCCTTAATAGAATCCTAGTTAAGAATTGATTCAGTTCAGTCTTTGCTTTGTCCTATCGCTTACAAGGTGAGCTTTTCGAATAGTAAATATTTCGTTTTTCATAGATTATAGATATCTCTTAATTGTTTAAGGGGATAAATTAAAAGTTTTAACGTTTTCAAATTAAAAACATATTTTTTCCCTCCATAAATTCTTTGTTTTATTAACCTTTAATAACATATTATTTTGCAATAGATTCCTATAATAATTTGGAATTTTTTTTTTAAAAAAAACTAAGTATATTTTTATAGGAAACTGTACTTTAAAATCTAATAACACTACATTAAGTTTATAGCAGTCATTTTCCCATTAAGCAAATTACTTTCCATTGTACGTTTAATGCCGAAATGTCTTTTTAAAAAACATTGAATCTTTAGGTTTATAGACTTATACCTTAAAATCATTAAATTACTCCACTAAAAAGCAATTTGTGCTACCTAATGTTGCATTGATCTTTAGCATAATAACGGTTTTAAATGATGTTTTAGCCAAATATACATTAAACTACCCCTATGAAGTTTATATGAACTTTGTGCAAGCAATAAAATTTTTTTATATGTTTCTCTTTGTTATATAATGTCCACATTTTTTAATGTGAACAAACGTTATGGCAAAGAAATGGAAATTGCTTTTCGCATAAATGGAACGGAATAAATGGGTTCAACTACTTTTTTTTTAAAAAAAACTCTCGAAGACTAAAATCACTTTTACTTTTTTAACTATTAATTTTTAATAGTGCATTTTAGAGTTACACGTACCATCAAAAACAAATTATGTACAAAGTAGAGCTTTTAAAAGTTAATGTCTCAGAAATTTTTATAGCATCAGATTTAATGTACTCAAATGTTATTTTTTATCACTATAATTTTATCAGACAAAGGGAAAACATTTTAAAAAAATAAAATACTTTATTTTTTTATGTATATATATCAGGAAATTATAATTTAGGGAAAGACAAAACAAACAATATCATATAATAAAATGATAGAATTATATTATATTGATTAAAAATTATAAATTACATTCGAATTTTTCTCGTTGTTGTAGTTGTAGTTCATTTACGTCACACTAGAGCTGCACAATGGGCTATTGGCGACGGTCTGGGAAACATTCCTGAGGATGATCCGAAGACATGTCATCACAATTTTGATCCTCTGCAGGGGGGATGGCACCCCCGCTTCGGTAGTCCGACGATCTGCATGCGAAGTCGAGCAATTTACGGTAGAACAGTTAAACGAGAACCAATACCGCTCACCATCGGTCTCTACGTAGCTAATTTTTCTCGATATTTGAAATGAATTCACTTAAAATTTTACCACCTTTTTGCGATTTAATCGAGAAAATTAAGAAATGACATTGAAATCAGAAATATAAGTGGATATTTATAAAAGGAATAAAAATTTTGGAAAAAAATACGAACTAAAACATGCAGAAATACATGAATGAAGTAAAAACAATACACTTTTAGAATTATTTTTTTCTTAAATTATGGTAAATAAAAGGCAGCTGTCAGTCCGTCCAGTTAACCGTAAAAATTACGGTTAAAAACATTTCTTTACCTTTACCCACCGCTTACAATTGGTGTGAATTAAGAAACCATAAATGCAAAACTATACGAAATGTATAGTTTTAAACCATGTAATGCAACCATGTTTTCAAAACCGCAAAAAGGAATTTTAACTCGACGCTGGAGCTAAGCTTTTAGTTTGGTAAGGAGCATTAAAGATAGGTTGTGGCTGAGTTGCGCTTTATCAAATGAACCGCGGAATGTGGTTTAATTTAGTTTTTGAAGTGGTTTTTTCACCTATCGTAAGAGTATGAAAATTCTAGATTCACTTGTGTTAAGCAGCATAGGGTCCTGCCATCTATACGTGAATGAGAATTACTCATTTCATAGTCCAGGGTAACCAATTAAAGAGTGTAGGACACTAGAAATTCTTCATTTGTCGTATGAATGATAGAAGTATTGTGGTGTCAACGCTTAGATTCGAATCTCAATTCCACCGAATATGAAATTGATTGTTTAGTCCTCTCGATTAAAATATGAATTCAATTACAAGAAATTAAGTTGCTTCGTAGGGAGTTCACCATACATTTATGACTACTATAAGACTATTAGGCATACTATAACGAAAATAAGAGCAAAAAAAAGAGCAAACGAGAGACTTGAAATTTCCCTAAATAACGCCATGTCCAGACTCCTTTCCTGGTGTTTAGAAAACAATATGATCGTCAACACGGTGAAAACAACCAACCAAAACTTTTCATTATGTCACCAACCATTGCAACTACATATATCGTATAACAATATAGCCCTACCGTGTAGTGAGAGTACTAAGTACTTAGGAGTAATTTTCGATCGTAAACTCACTTAGAAATAATATATTGATGATATCAAGCAACGGGCTTAGAAGCGTATGATACTCCTTAAACGCCTCGCAGGAGTTAAGTGGGGCTGTGCTACCACAACTCTACTTGATACCTATAAGACTTTTATAAAACCTGTCATGACTTACTGTAACGCCCCTCCTATTACAGTATCTGAGGGAGGTATAAATAGACTGGAACGACAGCAAAATAATGCGTCTTGTCACCGTTGCTGTCAAGACCACACCCATTGACGCACTTCTGCTATATACCAATGAATTCCCTATACAATATGAAATAAAGAAATCAGCTTTAAAGCTCTATCAGAAACTAATTCGTCTACCTCATAGCGTTATGCTGACCAAGTCTGAACCTCGTATGAAGACTCAGGACGGCTATCTTCAAGTAGTATTAAAAGTGATGGGTGAATTTGATATACCTTCCTGGATTGAATCTTTGTTTCCCCCTGTCTTAAAAGTCCAAGATTGTACAGCAGCTTTGTTCAGCGCGGGGATGAAAACTATCCACAATCGTTTTCCTCTTGATTCATGGTTGCACATATATACAGATGGCTCAAAGCTTGAGATAGATGGCGCTGCCGGTGCTGGTATTTTTTGTGAGCATTTCTCCCTCTCTCTTTCGTTGGGAACAGCCAAGACCGCTTTTGATAGTGAGGTTGAGGCAATCAAAGTAGCTTTAACTCATTTAAATGCTCGTCCTTCTCTTTTCGATCAAGCTGTCATCTTCTCGGATTCCCAAGCTGCGATTCTGGTCATTGCCAACTACTCTCAAGCCCCTAGCTCTTTGTCAATAGGGAAATGTAGATCTTTAATGACAGAGATAGGTGAAAAATATAAAACAATTGCCTTACAATGGATCCCATCCCACTGCGGTATCCCCGGCAACGAAAAAGCTGATGCTCTGGCCAAAAACGGTTGCTTTGTTAATCAAGCCCCAAATAACTTGGTTAGCTATAAATCCACTTCGTTAATGATTAATCATGCAATTAAGACAACACATATATCATTGCTAAAAGAACGAACAAAAGAAAAATCGTGGAGAAATGACATCCTTAATCTCCCCGATTGCCCAAGAAGCAGTGCTGTAGCTGCCTTTCGTCTTGCTACCAAGCACGATTGCTTAAACACCCATCTTTTCCGTCTTAAAATAGTGGATGATCCTGCCTGCCCCCTCTGTCGCAGTGGTGTGACGATGAACGCTGAACCTCTTCTCAACTGTTCAGTTCCCACAAAGAACTGCATCTACTCCCGATACTGGGAGGCCAGAGAACTTTTGTTCAATTTAAGTTCTTGATTTAATTTTTGTGTTTGATGTTTTGCTTTTGTTTTTGTATTTTGCATATTTCATATCTTTCTGTATTTGTATTTTTCTTTTCTTTTGATCTCTGTACGGCGTTAGGATAATGTCTATATAGCCTGCTGCATTGGAAATATAAAAAAAATGACGAAAATAAAAGTATGAGTTTGTAATCCTTATCACGTGGTTTACCTTCCAGCTTTCGAAAATCATGAACTCAATTCTTATAGTGTGTGGGTCTAGTTAGCGAGAATAAAATATTGTCTAGTGTTTGAATTGTTTGTAGAAACACATTTTTTTCCTATCGATAATTAAGAAAAAACAAGTATTAAAGTAGTAATTTCAAAATTAAAAGAAGATTAGAATTCAATTTAAGATTTTTACATTTTGAACATTATTACATTTTTCCTTAATCACCTCTCTAATAATATTATTCTATATTAATCTTTTTTAATTTTTGTTTTTTAAAACAAATTAGGATAAGTAAACAATAAAACAAAACTATTCTCATTAAAACCTTTTTAAAAATATAATTAATTATAATTATTTTTATAATCCTTTTTCGATATTAATAATGACTTATTTTTTATTTATTGAGCTATTTAATCTGATATACAAACCAACAATTATAATACTAATTTATCTAATAAAAAATATTGGTAAATTTATGCTACTTAATTGTTTTCAGTTTTAACAAATACTTCTTAGACTTAGGATAACAAAAAGAAAATTATAATTATGGATTAAGCAAGATAATTTTTTTTCATTCTTCACAATCACTTTTAAATTAAATTTTCTCTCCGCCTTAATTGAAAACAGTTTTCTTTTATCTCAATATTTGAAGAGAATACGCAAACAAATTTCATTATAAAATGTCAGAACTTCATGCTTTAGTCAAGAAAATGAAAATATCAGATTAAAATTTATTTTGTCACTACCAAAATCATAGAAAAAGTCTTATTTGTTTTGATTTCCGTCACAAAAATTTAATTAAAATATTCATAAGAAATTGGGATTATCTGAAGCATTTAAGAATTCGTTTAACAAGTGCTAAAAATATTACAACTAATCATCTTTTGCTCGAAAATAAATATATTTGTTACTTTTATACTTATTTCAAATATTTAGTTCCTTAGTTACTATGCATCAAAATGAACATTGGATAAGTTTATTTTTTGCCTAAAAATGTGTAAGAAATACTGATTCGATGACTATTTCTATTATCGAAAATGTTCTTTTTATTAAATTAGCCTTTTTCGTAAATTTTCATGCACCAATTATAATAAAAACTAAATACTTTATATATGTCAGCGTGAAACAGAAATCTGAAAAATATCTAATTTCATCCGTGAATATAAACAAACACATAGCGCTTAGGTGAAAGCCTGAATTATATGTAATAGCCGATTTGGCATGAATTTGTTTTTTTATATTTTAATTTAAACAATAACTATAGTTAATATTCTCTGAACTCTTGTTTTAGTAATTATTTATTGCTCATACTAAAAATATTGCTTCAAAGTGACTTAAACTCACAACGGAATCTTATACACTATAAAGAAAAAGGTGACCAATAAGAGTTTAAATTATGGTATAGTGAGATATTACAAATCCGCCGTGTTTTGGAGACATTATTGATCTATAAATTTCGTAATTGTATATGCGTCTATGAGATTGAGAAAAACCGAAATTTGTGATTTTACACTTTCACCGGTGAATGCCAATAATCACATAGTCGCTTTAGTAAGTATCCGAAATATATGCTAGATCTGATTTGTTATCAGATTGGGAAAGATAAGAAAAATCCTCAGTGTAGGAAATACCGGACAAGTGTATACAATTCAAAGATTTTTATTCTTGAGAAACATTAGGGTAGATAATACTGGTTATTTTTCCATCACCTGTCAGGCATTCTTAACATGGATATTTTTCCTAATCCACCCCAATCCGATATTAAAATATCGAATAAATATTTACCTCCCGACATTCACCGGTAAAAATCGACTATCATCAATTTCGGTCTTTACCAGTCTCAGTGACATATTACTAAATATATAGATACCTCAATCGTGTCTCTAAAACACGGTGAGTTTATATGATTTCACTTAATGATATGATTTCACGTTGATAACTTAGCAATAATTTAAACTCCTATTGAACTCTTTTTTTTTGTAATAAATAATAATTTGCTGTAAGTTTAAGTCAGATTGAAGTACACCTTTTAGTGTAACAAGCAATAAAAAATAACTAAATCTAGAAATCGGACAACTTCAAAAAGTAACTTGTTATTCTATAGTTTATTTCCCATTAGCAGTTTCAAGTCAAAACTCTAAGCAATTGAAATTTACTTATGAAAAATTAGATAAATTAGGGACGCAAGTAAAATTATAAATTTTAACCCATTTGTGGTAATTTGAAACGAAATTTTCCATAGAAAAATAAAATTGCCTATGGCCATAATAAAACTGTAAATGTTTACTTCACTTTTATAACAGAAATTAAAATTTTCATTAAAAAAAGTTATAAGTGTTAAATCATGATTTTTTGGTAGATAAAATTGTCGAAAATAAAGTAGAGAGTTTTTAGTAACCCATCACTGAAAGAGTTATATTTTTGCAATCTTATCTAAGATAAATCATACTATAAAATTGTAATTAGACTTGTGAGAATAAGAACTGATCTCACAGCATGTCTACAATGTTGCACTTATTTTTTTTATGTAAAATATGATACGCGCAAAGTAAATTACGTATTCCTATACTTCGTTGCAAGTTAAGAAAAGATCATTGCTATATAGGATTTATGTAATCATCCTTGACAACCAATAGTTTCGCTTTATTTCGTTATTAAGTTACACAACAATGTTTTCAAAACAATATGAAAGCTTTTAAAAGTTAAACAAGTCAAACGGAAATTTCCCTCGAGCTATCTTTTAAGATGTATAGTATTAAAAATCATCACAGTATTATTTAAAAGGAAAGGTTGTAGTTTCGTAGCTTTACTGAAATCCTAGACTTGGCGACATATTTAGATAAATAAGGAGAATACTCGTTTTTGAAAAACAAACAACGTTGACAAATATGAAGTTGCAAGATTATTGAATTTGATTGAATAACTAAAAAAGACGCGTCTTATACTGACATGTTCTTAACAAATCAAATGCGAAATAAAGAATTTTTACTTTTGTTTTATTGTAAGAGAAAATCGTCTGCGAGAAATAATATTTAATATTTAATAATAATCAGTTACTTTAAATGCGAACAAAAAAAAACTTATATTTTTTACGATATTTAGATTTCATGTTCATTACTTGTTAATTGATTGTTCTTGTTAATAGCTGCTATTATTATTAATAAGAAAGCAAGAAAAAAGGAGGCTGAGCATTTTTGCTTCAAGAGTTGGCGATATTCATATAAGTTCCAGCTGGGAGCTTGGCATCTTTTTGGCATGCACTTCGATGCAAATAGGCTCTCTCCGTAGAGGAAGTGGTTTTTTCTTAACTTGCAACAGAATATAATTCTTAAGATGTGTTTATAGAGCTTTTTTTCTAAAATAAAGTAAAACAAATTGCATACCACATTAAATTAAAAAAGCAGGTGAGAAATTAAAAGCATCGAAATTAGTTTGATTGTCGAAGGAAGCGAAATAGTTTCAAAAACCTACACATTATTTTATATAATTTCAACATTACTTCATCAGAAAATTCTTGTCCAGTTTCTACTGAATTTTACTTCTAATTTCATTCAAGCTTCATTCTAATTTTAATTATGACAACATATATTGACTTTGAAATTGAATAGCTATATTTTGATACATTTCGTAATTTTTTTTCTGCTTTTTACTTGCCTAAAAATTAATTATAAGTCTCTGATTAACATAGTTTATATTATATCGTTTTCGAAAATGAATCCAAAAATAAGTATACAATAAGCAATATTATTAAAAAATACCCTGATTTAATTTGTGTTTGGAATACACTTATACACTTATGAGTTTTAAACCATTAAATTTTCTTATGATTTATGGATCAGATAGATTATTTCCATGTAATTTATGATTTAGTTAATACGTTTAAATTAAAAACAATACTATAAATAACTACGTATAAATAACTCTATATATTCAAATTAAAGAAATTTCAATTTTTACAGAACTCTCAAAGACATTTAAACTAATTTTAAAGGAAAATAAACTATTTAAGAACATAAAAAAATATTTGATCTGTCTAGACTAGTGAAGAAAAGTAATAAATTCTTTACAAAGCGAAATTTCATCCAAAAGCAATATGATTTATGAGAATTTAATGAGTGGCGAATTTAACAAAAATAAATGTAAATTTCCTGGCCTCAAATGAATAAATTTCCGATTAATCTCTTTTCACTAACGCGTAAGAGAGTTTCTCAAATAAGCTAAAAAGTAAACTGCTGTTTGTAGAAAATGCAACACCATGAAGGAATCATCAGAATCAAATGAAATATTATTTTAATAATGGATATAGGATATTATGCAAATTAATAAAGTTTCAGAGCTTATTTTGCTACGTGGCGCGCGCAGCGCCCTCTGAATTGATGCTGAAAGCGTATAAATAAAGTGCTGTAGCGGGACGTTGAAAATAGTCTATGATTATTTGTTAGTGGCAAACGTTTAGTGAGACCTGAGTATGCCTCCACGACGGAAGAATAAGAAATTCAAGCAACTTACGGAGTTTGAACGAGGGAGGATAATCGGCCTTCGAGAAGGAGGATTTTCCTATCGCGCAATAGCAGCTCGTATGCAGCGGAACAGTTCCACAGTGATGCGAGTTTGGAAGCAGTGGACCGACGAGCACCGAACAACTCGAAAAACAGGCACTGGACGACAGAAGGTGACGTCAGAGCGCGATGATCGACACCTGCTCCGCATGGCGGTGAATGATCGCACAGCTTCCTCCAGGCAGCTGGCAGCACATTGGTCTACTGCTACAGGTGTACAATTGTCGGCTTCGTCAATTCGTCGTCGTCTGCTGCGCCGTGGATTGCGTGCAAGGGTGCCATTATACAGGATTCCCCTCACGGCGGATCATCGACGGCTGCGTCGGCAGTGGGCTCTTGAGCACAGAGACTGGCGAGCTGATTGGCACCAAGTTGTCTTTTCAGATGAATCACGCTTCAATTTGTGGACCCATGATGGCCGTGTTCGTGTTAGACGTTATGCCGGTCAACGCTGCCTTCCTGAGTGTATTATTGAACGACATAGTGGTCGAACACCCGGAGTTATGGTCTGGGGTGCGATTTCGT